CTCTGCAAATGCTAAAATCACTGAGGACTTAAGAAGGGGATTGCCTCTGCTCTATATGCAGAGAGGCAAATCCCCGCCTTATCTTAGCTCATTGGTCACCATAGCAACACCCACCCGTAGTATGCGTTCCAGCAGGTATATCTCACTGGTCATCCCCAAAGCCAACACCTCCTTTGGGTCGCCATTCCTTCCAGTTCTCTGCTGCAAATGACTGGAATGAACTGCAAAAATCTCTGAAGCTGGAGACACTTATCTCCCTCACTATCTTTAAGCATCAGTTGTCAGAGCAGCTTACCGATCACTGCACCTGTACACAGCCCAACTGTAATTAGCCCACCCAACTACCTCATCCCCATATTGTTATTTACATTGTTATTTGTTTTGCTCATTTGCACCCCAGTATCTCTATTTGCACATCATCTTCTGCACATCTATCACTCCAGTGTTAATACTAAATTATAATTGTAATTATTTTGCACTATGGCCTATTTATTGCCTTACCTCCATAACTTACCACATTTGCACACACTGTATATATATTTTCTATTGTGTTATTGACTGTACATTTTGTTTATTCCATATGTAACTCTGTGTTGTTGTTGTTTTTACCGCACTGCTTTGCTTTATCTTGGCCAGTTCGCAGTTGTAAATGAGAACTTGTTCTCAACTGGCTTACCTGGTTAAATAAAGGTTAAATAAAAAAATTAAATAAAAATAAAAGAAGAGTGTGGATACTGGCGGTGTTGGGGAAGCTACTCTTAAAATATCGTTTACCAAGCTTTACTTCACACTGAAAGAAGTTAAGCTACACCAAAGCCACCCCTATGAAAAATATAAAGTTACTTTGAAAAAGTAGTTCACTACATCCAAACTACTTTGTGAAAAATTATCATATGTAAATCTGAAATGTAGACTATAAATTTCAAGAGTACACTTTGGGGTCATATGTTAACAGAATGTGTAATTTATCCGATTAAACACAAAAACAATGTTTCAAGTGAGAATTAGGCAGGTCTGATGCAGAAAAATAAAATATTGCATACTTCACCCATATTTTATTGTATTTTTGCAAAACAAGTAGAGTATAGTTACAGTAGTTACAGTGCTTTCGGAAAGTATTCAGACCCCTTGACTTTTTAAACATTTTGTTACGTTACAGCCTTATTCTAAAATGGAGTAAATAAATAACAAATCCTCAGCAATCTACACACAATACCCCATAACGACAAAGCGAAAACAGGTTTTTAGAAATGTATACAAAAACAGAAATACCTTAGTTACGTAAGTATTCAGACCCTTTGCTATGAGACTTGTAATTGAGCTCAGGTGCATCCTGTTTCCATTGATCATCCTTGAGATGTTTCTACAACTTGATTGGAGTCCATCTGTAAAGTCAATTGTCTATATAAGGTCACATAGTTGACAGTGCATGTCAGAGAAAAAACCAAGCCATGAGGTCGAAGGAATTGTCCATAGAGCTCCGAGACAGGATTGTGTCGATCTCTGGAGAGACCTGAAAATAGCTGTGCAGCAACGCTCCCCATCCAACCTGGCAGAGCTTGAGAGGATCTGCAGAGAGGAATGGGAGAAACTCCCCAAATACAGGTGTGCCAAGCTTGTAGTGTCCTACCCAAGAAGACTCAAGGCTGTAATCGCTGTCAAAGGAGCTTCAACAAAGTACTGAGTAAAAGGTCTGAATACTTATGTAAATATGATATTTCTGTTTTTTTAATTTAATACATTTGCAAAAATTTCTACAAACCTGTTTTGCTTTGTCATTATGGGGTATTGTGTGTAGATTGATGAGGGAAAAACAACAATTTAATCAATTTTAGAATAAGGCTGTAACGTAACAAAATATGGAAAAAGTCAAGGGGTCTGAATACTTTCCGAATGCACTGTAGCTGCACCACTACATGGCAAAAAAAAAGTAATTAACTACTGAAAACATTTGAAAATGTAGTTAAATTACTAGTTGAACTACATGTAGTTCACTACTCCCCAACAGTGGATACTGGATGGTGGTGGTTCCGTTAGGGTGGCCATGTTTCCTCAGAATGTTGTTGTAAAGTAATCTTGCCACGTCGTATTGCACATCTAAGAATGACGAACATGTGATGAGGCCCGGACTCCCTGCATAATTCAGATGAACCTCACTCTTTCCCTCTCTCTTTTTTACCTCTCTCTCTCTCTCTCTCTCTCTCTCTCTCTCTCTCCTCTCTCTCTCTCTCTCTCTCTCTCTCTCTCTCTCTCTCTATATATATATATATATTATTGTTCTTTCTCTCTTTCTCCTTCTTTTTCCTTCACTCTGTCCCTTTCTCCCCCCTCTCCCTCTCTCCTTCCCTCTCTCTCTCTGTCCTCAGTCTCCTTCACCCCTCTCTCCCTCCAACTCTCCCCTTCCTTCTCTCTCTCTCTCTCTTTACGTGGGAGTTCATTCATTGAGTGCTGTGACTTACGGGGGTAATGAAAACATCGGCACCATTCATGAGCTCTGATTTCGGAGAAGAAGGGTGAGCTAGCCTGCTCTGCCTCGTGGAAACAGCACACCAGGGATCCGCTTCTGTAGTGGGACAGGTGTTGCTGAGCTGCTTTTCTGTGTTGCTTACCAAGAATAGTCTTACGTTCCAACCAAATATTAACAGCGGGACGCCCTGTTCAATTATGGATGAAGCAACTCAGCACTAATTTAAAAAATGGTCACTTGAATTCTATTGTAACAGTTATCGTGGTCTTGCAGGAAATACGTGGCCTATTTAATACACGACGACCTCGATATTTCATTGAAGAAAAAAGAGCGGGGTTGAAGTGGACTAATTGGGTGTATTTATAAAAAGTGATGACCTCTTAATGCACTCTGAAACACTCACAAGTGTTCTTTCTTCCTCTCATCAGTCGATTTCCCCGGAGTGCAAACGGGTGTGACTTCTGTACCCTTCAGGCCCTCCAGTTCACCACGCGACACTCTGCCTTACTCTTCCCCAATCAGCTCAGCAAAGAGAAACACACTCACTTTGAAGAGATTCACATTCCACTTTTACAGTACCTGGGGTATAGCACACACACACACACACACACTTATCTCTGCAGAATCTCACTTTGCCCTCCTGATACTTTGAGATAACACCCTATCTGTGTATTTATTTCCATGCAATAAATAGGCTGTTTATAAGCTGTGTATGTTGATGTCAATCTCTTATAAACACACACGTACACACACACAAACACGCGCACACGCGCACACACGCGCACACACACACACACACACACACACACACACACACACACACACACACACACACATACTTTTTGGATGCTTTATAGCCTCAGGATAGTGAGATATTAGCCTGTTCTTTGATGTTCATCCCATCCTTGCATTTATCATGTTGAATCAGCAGAAAATCCTAAATAAACCTTTTAAAAGGCTTCTCCTCAGTAATGCTGTAAATGATCCAAGAGGCCAATTGGTTTATCTTGGTCTTAAAAGCCCAACGCTGAGATTTTCGATGCAAAAATGAAGAGGATAGTCAAATAAAGCCTGCAGTTGGGCTTGGCGGTTACAGATATGGGTACCATAAAATTTGAATTTTTTAACTGTATTTATTGTATTTACATTACAATCCTCAAGTCCAAATGTATCATTCATTTTGACCAAATGTATGTAATGTAAATACAGAACATTTATGTGGTCCCGATACTCATAACTACGGTCTAGAGTTTTCCTGGTCATGTCATCATATGAAACGGTGGGGAAAAACTCAGGGCCCTAAATCCCTCCAATTACAGTAGGTTGATATGATTCTCGATGAGGGCTGCGACTGTGTTATGTTTGTGTCTCCAGTCTCCAGCTCAGACGTTTCTTGGCTCTGTGGGATTCACAGTGATGTGTGGGAGGGAGGGAGGACTGCCGCTGTATCTGTATGTGCATTATTATACCTAGTCAGTCAGTCAGAAAAGATCGAATCACATTTAATTTGATTTGTCACATGCTTCGTAAACAACTGTGAAATGCTTACTTACGGACCATTCCGTAGAAAAATAATAGACCCCTGCCTCCATAGTGCCCCTGTTGAGATAAAGCCACACTACTCCACATAATCATTTTCCAGAAAGGATCATAATCAACCAGTGTTATTCCCATATAGTGTAGCATTTGACCAGAGCTACTGTATGTGGAAAAGTTATTATTTTAGTAGGGTGTCATTTGAGATGTGCCCCTTGGCACCACTATGCCACCTTCACGGGGATATCTTCACAGACCATAGAGGACACACAATGGATGTGGATACAATGATTAAATGCTCGAGGTGGTTGTCTTTTCTGATCAATTAATGTTAAAATTACATATTTGTTCAATTATCTTGATTGATAGATTTAAATTGTTTTATATCAACACTGTTAACATAAATACTTATATTTCATTTATATCACCTCTAATGGAATAGTAATTTATTGAGAGGGACAACCTGCTGTGAAAGCACATTCGATTTCTCTGCAAACGCAAAATCTCAACTATGTTGTCTCATCATACTTGCCGTAGTTTGGAGTCACGAACTGAAAACGAAAAAAGTTTTTAAACAAACGAGTAAGCAACTCAAGATTAATCTTTCGTTTTATCATTGCTAGTTATTTGTGAATACCTTTGATGATTTGAAGTAGTTTTACTGTGATGCCTCTGGAATTGCGTGAGATGTCATCACTTATTCAACTTTACGGAGCATAACTGGCTAGCTACTATAGCTAGCCATTCTTGTGCTATGTGGCATTCTTGTATTGTGTGCTAGCCATTATTGTGCTATTGACAGCAGCACCTAGCTAGCTAGCTAACTGTCTCTAATATTCTGTCATTAGCCACTGATGAGTGTCAATGTTTATTGCTATGATAATTAAAACGGTGTTTGTTTACTTGCTTGTCATCCAGTCAACATATAACAGCTAAATTAGGATGATTGTTGTGTTGATGATAATTCATGTTCCAAAAATATGTTCTCCTTTCACAGTGGCTGAATAGCCTATTTCATCTGGATCTCATCCTTAATATTGCCTAAATTGAAGTGCCCAAGTCCACTACAAAACTTGCACAAGCTTGCTACTGTCAGTGACGTACCTGATCATTGAATCATGAGTTCCTCCAGTTGAATGTTCAGGAGGATTCGTTACTGTCTCAGCCACTGTCTCTACGCAGCCATGTCACGCCTGGAGCTGGAGGAGGAGAGCGGGCCTGGGCCTGCACCTGGAGTAGAGGTGGACATGTGGTCGTCGGTGCGTTGCCTTGGTTACCTCTCCAGTTTCAACCTGATGGTGGCGGTATGCCTGGGCCTGTACGTGCGCTGGGAGCAGACGGACGAGCCCATGATCCTTGTCATCTTCATCCTGGGTCTCTTCGTCCTGGGCATCGCCAGCATCCTCTACTACTACTTCTCCATGGAATCAGCCAGTCTCAGCCTCTTCCACCTGTGGTTTGGCTTCCTTCTGGGCCTCCTGTGCTTCCTCAATAATCCCTCGCTGGAGGAGAATGTGAAGGAGCAGGCTACTAACTACCTGCTGCTGGCTAGTGTGGCTTTGAGGACGGTGTGGGCCTTAACAGATAGGATAATGGGCTGTGTTCACTATAAACCCACCCTGCTCTCGTCCGAGGAGCTCCTAGAACTCCTGGGCTTTGGCATCGCCAGCACCACCATGCTAATGCACAAATCTATCGCCCTCATTGCCCTAGTGGTGGCGCTGGGGGCTCTGATCGTGGGCCTGCGTGTCAAGTCCCTCCTAGCCCTGCCCAACTTGGCCTGCTTCGCCCTAGTCACCTCCCTGCTGTTCTTCAAGGCCGTGGGGATAACCACCAATCCCTTCGCCCTGGGCTGCTACCTGGGCCGTCTAATCTGTGACCCCCTCCTGGACGTCTACTTCAGCAGCCTGAGGGCCACCGAGCGCTGGCTGCCCGTGCTTTCCTGGGGACGTGTCTGGCGTCGACTCTCCCTGCTCCCTCTGGGGCTTGTGGAGATAGCCTTCTTCGTCCTAGCCGCTCTAAAGATGAGCCATCTAGAACTGTGGTACCTGGTGATCCCTGGGTTCTGTGTGTTTGGCCTGTTCTGGACAGTCTGCCACGTGGTGCTGCTGATCACACTGTGGGGCTTCCACACCAAACTGAGTGACTGTCAGAAGACGCGCTCGGTCCAGCCGTCAGACACACGCAGCCTGGACCGGGTCATGGCCTCGCGGGGGATGAGACACTTCTGCTTGATCTCTGAACGCCTGGTCTTCTTCAGCCTGGTGTCCACAGCCATACTGGCAGCTGTGTCCTGGCAGGTAAGCTGCTACATAGGGCTGAATGGTGAACTGGCAGGGTAATATATGTTAAACTAATGAATGAAAATATGGATTGATAAATCAGTTGGTTTATTGATCAGCTGATTGCGCGATTGATTGATTGTGTGATTGATCTGAGCTTTTCATTTATTGAGAAGATTTGAATCATTGAGAAGATTTGAATTATCTTATTCGAGACAGACCTGACCATAATAGCTGCATAGTAACAAAACAAGTCGAGTAGCATCATCAACATTGAAACATCAAGCTTCACGTCATAATCTCCAGAGACTGACACTTGCTAGAGGCCTGGCAGGCATTCACAACAGTCCCAAGCCGGAGAGGAGAGCTGCTTCTGCTCTCAACCGTGACCAAGTTAATTAGCACTTTAAAATGCCTATCTCCTTACATAAAGAGCCATAAATGATCTAGCCCTAATTTAGCTTTACCTTGTAATCTGCTATTAGCATAACAGGCTACACTGAGGCATGTCCAACTATTTATCACATCATATAAGATCTCCAGGCAGTGTATGCTACCGTACCTGTAGACTTCCAGTTATTGCGCTAACACTAGGCGAGTAGGGTCATCATTGGCTCGGGGGAAAAAAACTACCTGTAACTTCCTTCATACTGCACGCAGAGACATAAACATGGTATCCACGAGTTTGTCTGGGTAGGTAGAAAAACGAATAGTCAGAATCTCGCTGTATCTCTTTAAGCTATGACCCCACCATTTATTTTAATCACGAGTAAAAGCTAAAGTTGCAATGGGTCCGTTTAAAGGCCCTGTGCAGTCAAAAATGTGATTGTCCTGTGTTTTATATATTTCCACACTATGAGGTTGAAATAATACTGTGAAAATGCACTTTCAAATAAAATAAAATAAAATTGTATTGGCCACATGCGCCGAATACAGCAGGTGCAGACATTACAGTGAAATGCTTACTTACATCCCTTAACCAACAGTGCATTTATTTTTAACAAAAAAGTAAAAATAAAACAACAACAAAAAAAGTGTTGAGAAAAAAAGAGCAGAAGTAAAATAAAAAAACAGTAGGGAGGCTATATATACAGGGGGGTACCGGTGCAGAGTCAATGTGCGGGGGCACCGGCTAGTTGAAGTAATATGTACATGTGGGCAGAGTTAAAGTAACTATGCATAAATAATTAACAGAGTAGCAGCAGCGTAAAAGGATGGGGTGGGGGGGCAGTGCAAATAGTCCGGGTAGCCATGATTAGCTGTTCAGGAGTCTTATGGCTTGGGGGTAGAAGCTGTTGAGAAGTCTTTTGGACCTAGACTTGGCACTCCGATACCGCTTGCCGTGCGGTAGCAGAGAGAACAGTCTATGACTAGGGTGGCTGGAGTCTTTTACAATTTTGAGGGCTTTCCTCTGACACTGCCTGGTATAGAGGTCCTGGATGGCAGGAAGCTTGGCCCCAGTGATGTACTGGGCCGTACACACTACCCTCTGTAGTGCCTTGCGGTCGGAGGCCAAGCAGTTGCCATACCAGGCGGTGATGCAACCAGTCAGGATGCTCTCGATGGTGCAGCTGTAGAATTTTTTGAGGATCTGAGGACCCATGCCAAATCTTTTCAGTCTCCTCAGGGGGAATAGGCTTTGTCGTGCCCTCTTCGCAACTGTCTTAGTGTGTTTGGACCATGATAGTTCGTTGGTGATGTGGACACCAAGGAACTTGAAGCTCTCAACCTGTTCCACTACAGCCCCGTCGATGAGAATGGGGGCGTGCTCAGTCCTCTTTTTTTTCCTGTAGTCCACAATCATCTCCTTTGTCTTGGTCACGTTGAGGGAGAGGTTGTTGTCCTGGCACCACACGGCCAGGTCTCTGACCTCCTCCCTATAGGCTGTCTCATCGTTGTCGGTGATCAGGCCTACCACTGTTGTGTCGTCGGCAAACTTAATGATGGTGTTGGAGTCGTGCCTGGCCATGCAGTCATGGGTGAACAGGGAGTACAGGAGGGGACTGAGCACGCACCCCTGAGGGGCCCCCGTGTTGAGGATCAGTGTGGCAGATGTGTTGTTAACTACCCTTACCACTTGGGGGCGGCCCATCAGGAAGTCCAGGATCCAGTTGCAGAGGGAGGTGTTTAGTCCCAGGATCCATAGCTTAGTGATGAGCTTTGAGGGCACTATGGTGTTGAATGCTGAGCTGTAGTCAATGAATAGCATTCTCACGTAGGTGTTCCTCTTGTCCAGGTGGGAAAGGGCAGTGTGGAGTGCAATAGAGATTGCATCATCTGTGGATCTGTTGGGGCGGTATGCAAATTGGAGTGGGTCTAGGGTTTCTGGGATAATGGTGTTGATGTGAGCCATGACCAGCCTTTCAAAGCACTTCATGGCTACAGACGTCAGTGCTACGGGTCGGTAGTCATTTAGGCAGGTTATCTTAGAGTCCTTGGGAACAGGGACTATGGTGGTCTGCTTGAAACATGTTGGTATTACAGACTCAGTCAGGGACATGTTGAAAATGTCAGTGAAGACACTTGCCAGTTGGTCAGCACATGCTCGGAGTACACGTCCTGGTAATCCGTCTGGCCCTGCGGCCTTGTGAATGTTGACCTGCTTAAAAGTCTTACTCACATCGGCTACGGAGAGCGTGATCACATAGTCATCCGGAACAGCTGGTGCTCTCATGCATGCTTCAGTGTTGCTTGCCTCGAAGCAAGCATAGAAGTGGTTTAGCTCGTCTGGAAGTCTTGTGTCACTGGGCAAGAGTGTAAGAGCTGTTTGAAAAGGCCGCCTGAAATGTCTGCCTGTTTTGGTGGGATGGATATTTGGCCTGACTGGTGACATCACCAGGCGGTAAATTAGTAAATAGACCAATAAGAAAGAGTTCAGTTTTCCCCTCCCCACTCAGACCACTCCCAGCCAATCCTAGCAAAATTATTGCTTGAGAAGTCTTTGCTAAGAAGCCATTTTTGGTTCTTTTTAAACATTTTAATTTAAAACAATCACAATCAAGATACTTAATTGTTACTCAGAAATGATTTGATTTTGAGATAAAAACGACCTTTAATAAGCACAAGAAACCTGCAAAGTTAATAAAAGGGTGTGGCAGTAAGAGCAGGAACAGCAGCATCTAGTGGGCAAAACCTGCTACTTTCACACAACTTTATGGGGGGAAATGCAAGCGACTTCAATGGTTAATTTCTCTGAACAGGGAAAAAAATACATCACCAAATTCACTGAGAATACATTACATAGTTTGAATTAATAATACTCCAAGCCGCAGCTTTATAATACTTGTCAAAAATAGAGAACTGATACTGTATATTGACGGTTGGGGTGGCCTTGATTTGGGGGGGTACGTGGGTGGCTTTTGACAATTTATTTGGATTCATCACGTCTTAGGCATTTTAAGAAGTGGTTTGGTCCAAATCGGATGTTGGGTATTATATTTAATGAATATTATATGAATCCTATGAATTGAAATGGCCAATTTGGATGCAATCAATTAGCTTAATTTCTCAAAGTTCAAATAGTCTTTCAACAAAATAATGTTGTAGGAATGCTTATCTTATCTGTTTCTAACTACAGAAACCATTTCAGAACAATCAGAGATGGTGGGTGTCATGGCTTGCTGAAATATGCATACTACGTCATATACAGTGGGGAGAACAAGTATTTTATACACTGCCGATTTTGCAGGTTTTCCTACTTACAAAGCATGTAGAGGTCTGTAATTTGTATCATAGGTACACTTCAACTGTGAGAGAAGGAATCTAAAACAAAAATCCAGAAAATCACATTTGTATGATTTTTAAGTAATTCATTTGCATTTTATTGCATGACATAAGTATTTGATACATCAGAAAAGCAGAACTTAATATTTGGTACAGAAACCTTTGTTTGCAATTACAGGGATCATACGTTTCCTGTAGGTCTTGACCAGGTTTGCACACACTGCAGCAGGGATTTTGGCCCACTCCTCCATACAGACCTTCTCCAGATCCTTCAGGTTTCGGGGCTGTCGCTGGGCAATACGGACTTTCAGCTCCCTCCAAAGATGTTCTATTGGGTTCAGGTCTGGAGACTGGCTAGGCCCCTCCAGGACCTTGAGATGCTTCTTACGGAGCCACTCCTTAGTTGCCCTGGCTGTGTGTTTCGGGTCGTTGTCATGCTGGAAGAGCCAGCCACAACCCATCTTCAATGCTCTTACTGAGGGAAGGAGGTTGTTGGCCAAGATCTCGCGATACATGGCCCCATCCATCCTCCCCTCAATACGGTGCAGTCGTCCTGTCCCCTTTGCAGAAAAGCATCCCCAAAGAATGATGTTTCCACCTCCATGCTTCACGGTTGGGATGGTGTTCTTGGGGTTGTACTCATCCTTCTTCTTCCTCCAAACACGGCGAGTGGAGTTTAGACCAAAAGCTCAATTTTTGTCTCATCAGACCACATGACCTTCTCCCATTCCTCCTCTGGATCATCCAGATGGTCATTGGCAAACTTCAGACGGGCCTGGACATGCGCTGGCTAGAGCCATTTTAATCCATGACGGCGTAGTGTGTTACTAATGGTTTTCTTTGAGACTGTGGTCCCAGCTCTCTTCAGGTCATTGACCAGGTCCTGCCGTGTAGTTCTGGGCTGATCCCTCACCTTCCTCATGATCATTGATGCCCCACGAGGTGAGGTCTTGCATGGAGCCCCAGACCGAGGATGATTGACCGTCATCTTGAACTTCTTCCATTTTCTAATAATTGCGCCAACAGTTGTTGCCTTCTCACCAAGCTGCTTGCCTATTGTCCTGTAGCCCATCCCAGCCTTGTGCAGGTCTACAATTTTATCCCTGATGTCCTTACGCAGCTCTCTGGTCTTGGCCATTGTGGAGAGGTTGGAGTCTGTTTGATTGAGTGTGTGGACAGGTGTCTTTTATACAGGTAACGAGTTCAAACAGGTGCAGTTAATACAGGTAATGAGTGGAGAACAGGAGGGCTTCTTAAAGAAAAACTAACAGGTCTGTGAGAGCCGGAATTGGTAGGTGATCAAATACTTATGTCATGCAATAAAATGCAAATTAATAACTTAAAAATCATACAATGTGATTTTCTGGATTTTTGTTTTAGATTCAGTCTCTCACAGTTGAAGTGTACCTATGATAAAAATTACAGACCTCTACATGCTTTGTAAGTAGGAAAACCTGCAAAATCAGCAGTGTATCAAATACTTGTTATCCCCACTGTATGTGCAACTATGTGTGCCATGTCATTGCTCTCTCTCTCTCTTTCTCTCGCACACTCTCTGCTGTGTCCACTGAGCCGTTGGGCCCGCACTGCAACCTCTTTGGATAAAGATGGGCAGGCGTCTTGTTAGCTGTCACTCAAATGCGAGGGCCTGAAGCTCATTGGCTAGAACTCAAATTGATAGGAGGCTGGCCCACGTGGGGGGAAATGTAGGGAAAATGGCGCGGCACAGATTCAAGAAAGCAGTCGTTTTCAAACCAAGGATTTTGTGGCTAATTAAGGTGACAGTAAATCTGCTCATAGATTATGCATGTATGAACTACACATTGACACATCCAGCCCAAAGCGGGAGGTTTAAACAAATACTTTCTTAGTCGCCAAAGTACCGGAACACGTCTTTAAGCAAGGATACTTACTCAACCCACCCACATACTCTTCAACATTTTAAAGTAAGATATACAATTCATTGTCCGTGTTACCAAACATATAGGCCTAGCTATAGCCTTGAATTGTTTCTATAATCTAGGCCTATAGCCTTGCTCTACTTTAAAAGGGCTTGAAGGCTGGGATGGCATAAGAGCTTCAGTGTTGCTGTGTCAAATGAGAACTGAGGAGATGACGATGGACCAGCTGTGAGGCCTTTGGCAGTAGTAGCTGAATTTAACAAGAGGTCTGCTGCCTCCATCCAAAATTCATTAGCTAATAATGAAGCAGGGAGCTCTGAAGTGATGTGGTAAGCTTGCTGTTGCCTCGCTAATTGAACAAGTCGGATTGAGGAAAAATATGGATTTTAATTGTGAATGTAACACAAGTGTAATTGAGGAAACGCAAGGCTACGTGGAAATCGTCATGGCAACATAAGTATTTTGTTGTCTCTTTTTTTGTGTGTAATTTGTGTGTAGTTACTGAATTTTAACAGCTTGGGGAATTTGTATAACAATCCATTGTGGCCTTGGAATTTCACTTAGACTATCTTTGAAAAGGCTTCATTCTCACTCATTCCCACAGCTTCACTTGAGTGTGTTCCAAGGGTGTTTTGAGCTGTAGCCTTGTGATGGAATTTTGTTTGTGTGTATCTAAATAGCTAAATTATCTTACGCTTCAATACATTTTTTAAAAATCACAAATTACATTTTATCTTGTGTTGCAGCCCTCCAACGGTGTGTTCATGAGTATGTTCCTGGTGGTCCTCCCTCTGGAGTCTCTGGCCCACGGGCTCTTCCATGAGCTGGGCAGCTGCCTGGGGGGCACGTGTGTGGGCTACGCTGTGGTCGTCCCTACAACCTACAGCAGGTAGCAGCAGTAGCCTACTCTGTATGTACAGTGCATTCGGAAAGTATTCAGACCTCTTCCCTTTTTCCACATTTTGGTACGTTACAGCCTTATTTTAAAATGGATTAAATAAATTAAAATCCTCATCAATCTACACACAATACCCCATAATGACAACGCAAAAACAGGTTTGTTGAAAGTTTTCAAATGTATTAAAAATAAAAAACAGAACCTTATTTACATAAGTATTCAGACCCTTTGCTATGAGTCGCGGAATTGATCTGAGGTGCATCCTGTTTCCATTGATCATCCTTGAGATGTTTCTACAACTTGATTGGAGTCCATCTGTGGTAAATTCAATTGATTGGACATGATTTTGAAAGGCACACACCTGTCTATATAAGGTCCCACAGTAGAGCTCCAAGACAGGATTGTGTCGAGACATTTCTGCAGCATTGAAGGTCCCCAAGAACACAGTGGCCTCCATCATTCTTAAATGGAAGAAGTTTGGAACCACCAAGACTCTTCCTAGAGCTGGCCGCATGGCCAAACTGAGCAATCGGGGAAGGGCCTTGGTCTGGGAGGTGACCAGAAACCCGATGGTCATCTGTGGAGATGGGAGAACCTTTCAGAAGGACAACCATCTCTGCAGCACTCTACCAATCAAGCCTTTATGGTAGAGTGGCCAGATGGAAGTCACTCCTCAGTAAAAGGCACATGACAGCCCGCTTGGAGTTTGCCAAAAGGCACCTAAAGGACTCTCAGACCATTAGAAACAAGTTTCTCTGTTCTGATGAAACCAAGAGTGAACTCTTTGGCCTGAATGCCAAGTGTCACTTCTGGAGGAAACCTGGCACCATCCCTACGGTGAAGCATGGTGGTGGCAGCATCATGCTGTGGGGATGTTTTTCAGTGGCAGGGACTGGGAGACTAGTCAGAATCGAGGTAAAGATGAATGGAGCAAAGTACATAGAGATCCTTGATGAAAACCTGCTCCAGAGCGCACAGGACCTCAGACTGGGGCAAAGGTTCACTTTCCAACAGGACAACGACCCTAAGCACACAGCCAAGACAACGCAGGAGTGGCTTTGGGACAAGTCTCTGAATGTCCTTGAGTGGCCCAGCCAGAGCCCGGACTTGAACCCGATCTAACATCTCTTGAGAGACCTGAAAATAGCTTTGCAGCGATGCTCCCCATCCAACCTGACAGAGCTTGAGAGGATCTGTAGGGAAGAATAGGACAAACTCCCCAAATACAGGTGTGCCAAGCTTGTAGCGTCATATCCAAGAAGACTCAAGGCTGTAATCGCTGCCAAAGTTTATTCAACAAAATACTGAGTAAAGGGTCTGAATACTTTTTTTTTAGTTTTTCAGTTTTTAATAAATTTTCAAAAGAAATTTAAACCTGTTTTTGCTTTGTCATTATGGGATATTGTGTGTAGATTGATGAGATTAATTTTTAAAAAAAATCAATTTTAGAATAAGGCTGTAACGTAACAATGTGGAAAAAGTCAAGGGATCTGAATAATTTCCGAATGCACTGTATATAAACGTACACACACACACACATATATATATATATATATATATATATATATACATATATATACATACATACATACATACATACATACATACATACATACATACATACATATATGTATATATGTGTATGTATATATATGTATATATATATATGTGTGTGTGTATATATATATATATATATATATACAGTGGGGAGAACAAGTATTTGATACACTGCCGATTTTGCAGGTTTTCCTACTTACAAAGCATGTAGAGGTCTGTAATTTTTATCATAGGTACACTTCAACTGTGAGAGACGGAATCTAAAACAAAAATCCAGAAAATCACATTGTATGATTTTTAAGTAATTAATTTGCATTTTATTGCATGACATAAGTATTTGATCACCTACCAACCAGTAAGAATTCCGGCTCTGAAACGTCAGCCTCGAAACCTTAATGACTTGGAGAAGATCTGCAAAGAGGAGTGGGACAAAATCCCTCCTGAGATGTGTGCAAACCTGGTGGCCAACTACAAGAAACATCTGACCTCTGTGATTGCCAACAAGGATTTTGCCACCAAGTACTAAGTCATGTTTTGCAGAGGGGTCAAATACTTATTTCCCTCAATAAAATGCAAAAATCAATTTATAACATTTTTGACATGCGTTTTTCTGGATGTTTTTGTTGTTATTCTGTCTCTCACTGTTCAAATAAACCTACCATTAAAATTATAGACTGATAATTTATTTGTCAGTGGGCAAACGTACAACATCAGCAGGGGATCAAAAACTTTTTTCCCACACTATATATATACAGTGGGGGAAAAAAGTATTTAGTCAGCCACCAATTGTGCAAGTTCTCCCACTTAAAAAGATGAGAGAGGCCTGTAATGACAGACAAAATGAGAAAAAATAATCCAGAAAATCACATTGTAGGATTTGTAATTAATTTATTTGCAAATGATGGTGGAAAATAAGTATTTGGTCAATAACAAAAGTTTCTCAATACTTTGTTATATACCCTTTGTTGGCAATGACACAGGTCAAACGTTTTCTGTAAGTCTTCACAAGGTTTTCACACACTGTTGTTGGTATTTTGGCCCATTCCTCCATGCAGATCTCCTCTAGAGCAGTGATGTTTTGGGGCTGTCGCTGGGCAACACGGACTTTCAACTCCCTCCAAAGATTTTCTATGGGGTTGAGATCTGGAGACTGGCTAGGCCACTCCAGGACCTTGAAATGCTTCTTACGAAGCCACTCCTTCGTTGCCCGGGCGGTTTGTTTGGAATCATTGTCATGCTGAAAGACCCAGCCACGTTTCATCTTCAATGCCCTTGCTGATGGAAGGAGGTTTTCACTCAAAATCTCACGATACATGGCCCCATTCATTCTTTCCTTTACAAGGATCAGTCGTCCTGGTCCCGTTGCAGAAAATCAGCCCCAAAGCATGATGTTTCCACCCCCATGCTTCACAGTAGGTATGGTGTTCTTTGGATGCAACTCAGCATTCTTTGTCCTCCAAACACGACGAGTTGAGTTTTTACCCAAAAGTTCTATTTTGGTTTCATCTGACCATATGACATTCTCCCAATCCTCTTCTGGATCATCCAAATGCACTCTAGCAAACTTCAGACGGGCCTGGACATGTACTGGCTTAAGCATGGGGACACGTCTGGCACTGGTGAGATCTTGCGTGGAGCCCCAGATCGAGGGAGATTATCAGTGGTCTTGTATGTCTTCCATTTCCTAATAATTGCTCCCACAGTTGATTTCTTCAAACCAAGCTGCTTACCTATTGCAGATTCAGTCTTCCCAGCCTGGTGCAGGTCTACAATTTTGTTTCTGGTGTCCTTTGACAGCTCTTTGGTCTTGGCCATAGTGGAGTTTGGAGTGTGACTGTTTGAGGTTGTGGACAGGTGTCTTTTATACTGATAACAAGTTCAAATAGGTGCCATTAATACAGGTAACGAGTGGAGGACAGAGGAGCCTCTTAAAGAAGAAGTTACAGGTCTGTGAGAGCCAGAAATCTTGCTTGTTTGTAGGTTACCAAATACTTATTTTCCACCATAATTTGCAAATAAATTCATTCAAAATCCTACAATGTGATTTTCTGGAAATCTTTACTCAATTTGTCTGTCATAGTTGACGTGTACCTATGATGAAAATTACATGCCTCATCTTTTTAAGTGGGAGAACTTGCACAATTGGTGGCTGACTAAATACTTTTTTGTGTGTGAGTTCTGTGTACATGTGTCTACGTAGTCAAGAACTACAGGAAATGTATGATCTCTGTAATTGCAAACACAGGTTTCTGTACCAAATATTAAGTTCTGCTTTTCTGATGTATCAAATACTTATGTCATGCAATAAAATGCAAATTAATTATTTAAAAATCATACAATGTGATTTTCTGGATTTTGGTTTTAGATTCCGTCTCTCACAGTTGAAGTGTACCTATGATAAAAATTACAGACCTCTACATGCTTTGTAAGTAGGAAAACCTGCAAAATCGTTAGTGTATCAAATACTTGTTCTCCCCACTGTATATACAGACTACGTAGACACATGTACACAGAACTCACACACACACACACACACCAGGGTCTCCATTAGTCGGTAATAGCCGGCATTTGGCAAAAATTTTATAAAATGAAAAGCCGATAAATATAACTGCCACCGGCCAATTGTCCTGGAGAAAAATACAATCCCATTGCAAAATAATGGAAATACCAGTCGATGTAAATACATTTGACCGGTTATGCTTATCGGTCTATAAGTTAATTTGCATAATGTTGTGGAATTAAATTGTCACGTGTGTATTTTCGTTAGTCGTTATGTTTATCACACGAGCACAGTATACAGATACAGAGCCTATGAGTGGAAAATCTGTCACACAGTGTGAGAGCTGCTGCTACAGCTTATCAAACAGTTAATTTGTTGATGCTGGCTTTAAACATGCTTTTATAAGCCCAATCATTGCGTAAAAATTCTAAATGCAATTGCGTGTTAAAAATTATTTTGATGGCTATGATTTAAGAAAGCTACTATTTTTATTTCTCAGCTGGTAATTGAAGCATGCTTCCCATTCACCATTCAAGTGCATATAGGCAACGGTATAGGCAGGCTTCAGTATGTCACACACCACTTTGCAATGAGCTGGAGGCAGTATGAAACCTGAACGTTTTACTTCATATTATGAGGCATGTCTTACCTTACTTCAAAGTCAAATCCGACCATAGAAACGTGGAGGCAATTATTTTATAAACATATGCCTTTTGAAACCAGTAGCCTATTTCTCTCATGTTCTATTGGTTTTCAAATCAACTTTCATTCATTGTCCAGTAGCCTAAGGCACCTAGTCATATTAGCAACCCATGCTAGTTGTTGCATCTTTAGATCTCCCCTCTTTCAAAATGTCTAATGGATGTTTTTATCTCTGTCACATGAAACTACTTGCATGTGCAGTTTGCTTTTGACAATGGTGGTTTCCCACTAATTGCATTATGGAACAAACATTTGTGCATAGCTTACTGACTTGTGCACATTGCTAAGCTTATAATGTGAAGAAATAATAGTTTATCAACATTTTAAGCTAAATTAAAATGCTGCCGGTCAAAAGTCTGGTGCCACATTTTCCTAATAGAAACCCTGACACACACGCACACACAATTCAGTATACACATGTACAGTGAGGGAAAAAAGTATTTGATCCCCTGCTGATTTTGTACGTTTGCCCACTGACAAAGAAATGACCAGTCTATAATTTTAATGGTAGGTTTATTTGAACAGTGAGAGACAGAATAACAACAAAAAAATCCAGAAAAACGCATGTCAAAAATGTTATAAATTGATTTGCATTTTAATGAGGGAAATAAGTATTTGACCCCCTCACAATCAGAAAGATTTCTGGCTCCCAGGTGTCTTTTATACAGGTAACGAGCTGAGATTAGGAGCACACTCTTAAAGGGAGTGCTCCTAATTTCAGCTTGTTACCTGTATAAAAGACACCTGTCCACAGAAGCAATCAATCAATCATATTCCAAACTCTCCACCATGGCCAAGACCAAAGAGCTCTCCAAGGATGTCAGGGACAAGATTGTAGACCTACACAAGGCTGGAATTGGCTACAAGACCATCACCAAGCAGCTTGGTGAGAAGGTGACAACAATGGAAGAAACACAAAAGACCTGTCAATCTCCCTCGGCCTGGGGCTCCATGCAAGATCTCATCTCGTGGAGTTGCAATGATCATGAGAACAGTGAGGAATCAGCCCAGAACTACACGGGAGGATCTTGTCAATGATCTCAAGGCAGCTGGGACCATAGTCACCAAGAAAACAATTGGTAACACACTACGCCGTGAAGGACTGAAATCCTGCAGCGCCCGCAAGGTCCCCCTGCTCAAGAAAGCACATATACATGCCCGTCTGAAGTTTGCCAATGAACATCTGAAAGATTCAGAGGAGAACTGGGTGAAAGTGTTGTGGTCAGATGAGACCAACATCGAGCTCTTTGGCATCAACTCAACTCTCCGTGTTTGGAGGAGGAGGAAAGCTGCCTATGACCCCAAGAACACCATCCCCACCGTCAAACATGGAGGTGGAATCATTATGCTTTGGGGGTGTTTTTCTGCTAAGGGGACAGGACAACTTCACCGCATCAAAGGGATGATGGATGGGGCCATGTACCGTCAAATCTTGGGTGAGAACCTCCTTCCCTCAGCCAGGGCATTGAAAATGGGTCGTGGATGGGTATTCCAGCATGACAATGACCCAAAACACACGGCCAAGGCAACAAAGGAGTGACTCAAGAAGAAGCACATTAAGGTCCTGGAGTGGCCTAGCCAGTCTCCAGACCTTAATCCCATAGAGGGAGCTGAAAGTTGGAGTTGCCAAACGTCAGCCTCGAAACCTTAATGACTTGGAGAAGATCTGCAAAGAGGAGTGGGACAAAATCCCTCCTGAGATGTGTGCAAACCTGGTGGCCAACTACAAGAAACGTCTGACCTCTGTGATTGCCAACAAGGGTTTTGCCACCAAGTACTAAGTCATGTTTTGCAGAGGGGTCAAATACTTATTTCCCTCATTAAAATGCAAATCAATTGATAACATTTTTGACATGCGTTTTTCTGGATTTCTTTGTTGTTATTCTGTCTCTCACTGTTCAAATAAACCTACCATTAAAATTATAGACTGATCATTTCTTTGTTAGTGGGCAAACGTACAAAATCAGCAGGGGATCAAATACTTTTTTCCCTCACTGTACACAGACCTCACACAGACACACACTCACTATATTTTTCTCCACAATCATCAATATTCCCTGCACCGAAGTAAAAAAATACCTTAACTTTACAGCATCCAGAGGGACAGACCATAATTTCAATTCCCTCACTGGACAAACCAAGTGGAAATATATCCCAATAACCATGCATAAACATGGCCCTAATGTTTCCCCCCTGAGGCTGCTCTCTCCCTGGCATACTAAGTGGCTGTGGGTGGAAGATGTGTTTACGACCAGTCAGGGCCACTCTCTGTCCAAAATGGCACCCTATCCCTTTGATTAGGACCCACTGGGCTCTAGTCAAAAGTAGTGCACTATGTAGGGAATAGGGTGCCATTTCAGACTCTGCCTCTATCTCTGTGCTAGGGCAGTTAGCACTTAGCAGTAGCTAGCTGCTGTCTGTCTGTGGTGGTGATTCGGATGCAGGCCCATACATCTGCTCTGTATGCCAGGGCTGTGGATGTAGGCCCCACCGGGAGACCAGAGTGCATGTTGAGAATATAGCAGTGTATTATCTACTGTTTGATGGGTTCAGATCATGTTTTTACAATGATGAGGACCCCTTGGGAAGATGAGGAGGAGGAGAAGAAGGGAACGGCGAGGGACAGAGAGCAAAGGAGAGAAAGTCAGACAGGGACAAAGAGAGAGAGGGTGAGAGGGAGAGAGACAGGCTTTTAGAGAGGCAGGACAGGGGGAAGGGGATAGAGAGAGACTAATATGTTTCCATCTTTGTATAGATAAGACCCATGCCAGGTTAGTGAAACAAATCTGTCACGTCATCCACTGCCCCCAGTCATCTCAATACAACGACTCAGACAACATCGACTCATTATTCAGACAGAACTCTCTCCAATCTCTCCAGCCCAAGGTCTCTCTCAAGACCATAATAACTCTGCTTTCAGATGAAATGTTTTGAGTTATGCAGATGTCTATATGAGTGAATGGAGAAAGTCGTGAGTAATGCCAGGCACAGGGACAGACAGATACAGAGTGAGTGGGGCTATATTGAGTAACAGAGACTGGGGCAGCCTTGACTCCTGTCCTTATGCCTGGTGCTGTGCGATGGAGAGACAGAGAGAAAGGTGTGTCGGATCGAACAGATGGATCTGTCTTGACCTCCAAATCTTGTTGTGGGGTCGTTGGGTCAGAACTCATCGCCATCTTTATTGTCACTCATTTTAGCCCTCCACACACACACACACACACACACATTCATATTATCTCATATTCCATCTCTACTGTACTGCCAGTGTCTTCACCTCTATTCCTTTTCTTTTTCTTTTCAATTCTGCTCTCCGTCTCCACTTGCCATTCTCTCCTCATATTCATTGTCTCCCCCCCCCCCCCCCCCCCCCCCACCTATTCACCCATCCTTCTCTCCCTTCCCTCCACAGCCCAGACGGCCAGCCCACCCTCCTACCTCCGGACCAGGTGCAGGAGCTGAACGTGCGCTCCACGGGCATGTTGAACAGCGTGCAGCGCCTCTTCTCCCACCACATGATCGAGACGTTTGGCTGTGACTACTCCACCAGCGGGGTGACCTTGGAGGCCCTGCAGGCCAAGCTCAAGGCCTTCCTGGAGCTTCGCACGGCCGACGGGCCCCGCCATGATACATACGTGGTGTTCTACAGCGGGCATACGCAGCGCACCGGGGCCTGGGCACTGGCAGGTGAGGGTCATCATAGCTTACAGAGGCTGGCTGGCTGGCTGGCTGGCTGGCTGGCTGGCTGGCTGGCTGGTTGGTTGGTTGGCTGCCTCTGCTCAACTCTCAGAAACCAGCAGACAAGCTTCTTGCCTCTCTGTCTCTCATCGTCAATCAATGTTTATTTTGCACCTATTTATTTCCAGACTAGATCAAACATGAAAAATACAAATACAGGATCAAATTAAGGTTATATGTTTGAATAAAACATAATGATGAGGGTAGAATAATGTATTCTTGCTTTGCCAAACATTTTAAAGTTTTCCATTTGTTTGTGAGAAATGTCTGGAACAACAGCAGTAGTTAGAACAAGTACAAAATATTTTGTAGTCTGCCAGATGCAGTGTGTGCCTGTACTTTTCATTAATCCATGTGACTCTTAGCAGAAATGAAGAGTACAACATTTCCCCAGTGTGATAACTGAAGTTTGTCATCAGAGTGGCTGCCAACACACACCAACGCTTTATCACTGCATGATGCTGCTAGGAAGCTCAGTGACAATTAAACATGACTTGACCATTGTTAATGTACTCCCACTCCTAACTTTGATTTTTCTCCATTAACCCAGACAACCTTTTGTCTTTAATGTCCATTACTTGCTCACCACCTACCTTAACCTTATCAAATACATGCAGACAGTCATCGTGACTCATCGGGCAAATCAGCAGTAATAAGTAGTTAATTAGTATTATTATTAACCCATTACCCAATTATTCTTTAATGGACTATGGAAGGAAAATATTTTAATCATACTGCAATTTTTAAAACCCTTGTTATCAAACTAGCTGCTAAACTAACATTCAGGGTCAATAAAAAAAAAACTAGTACGTATTGTCTTCCTGAAGATACAGATCCAACTACGGACCAACCAAGTATTCTAGTAATATGTGTCAAAACATCAATGTGGCCACAGTATATTATCCTGGTGCTCCCCTGAAACCCACATTTTACTTAAAACATCAGTGTGTCGCGACCACACAGTATCGCTCCTCCTAACCGTTCCCTTTCTGAGCAGCTCCCAAGCTGTAAAGAAATATCTTATCTTGGCTCCATCTACGGGCACCTCTTAATCTTCCTGCCATGGAGCACACTGCCGTATTAATCCTCATGAAGGATACTGCGTGTCATACCCTGTGTCACAGTGTTTGAGCAGTGGAGGCCGAGGGGAAAAACAACCCGGGCCCTGGCTGGCGTTGGAGCTTTACAGAACGGTCTGGGAAGAGCGGGGTGGGGGGTGTCTCTGGCACTCTCACTCACTCACTCACTCATGCAGGCTGCTCACGCACACATATAGACACTCATATGCCGCTCACATATTTGCCACAAAGGAGGGGTATCCAAACAGAAAGCAGTCCCTGTAACTCAAGATTTAGGCGCCTTAGACTAGGGATAGGCCATACAGTCGTATAGCTGTAGATGGTATTCAGAATAACAATAGAGATGATTTGACAAATAACTTGACTATTCACATGTTCCTTTTGTTTCCATTGTGCATGTTATGATATAGATCATATCAGCTTTTCGCAAATGGTTGTTCCTTGTTGGTCCCAGCCTAAGACTTGGTTGTGGTTATTAAGCTAGAAACATGTTTATTTCTCTCTCTCTTCCAGGAGGAGACTCTCTGCGTCTGGAGCAGTTGCTGGAGTGGTGGAAGGAGAAGAACAGCGGCTTCACCTCCCGCCTCATCCTGGTCCTGGACACAGAGAACTCTCTGCCTTGGGTAAAGGAGGTCCGCAGGATGGAGGGAGTCTACGTGGCCGTGCAAGGGGCCGAGCTCGCCCCCGCCGGTGACATCGAAGGTGTGGACGCCCCCCGCCTCGGGGACTTCACCTCGGAGTGGGTGGAGTTCAACTGCAACCCGGACAGCGCCACCCAGTGGTTGGAGAAGGACAGGATGGTGGTGGCGGCCTACGGTGTGTCGAAACACTGGAGCGACTACACGCTCCATCTTCCCACAGGGAGCGACGTGGCCAAGCACTGGAAGACCCACTTCCCCCAGGCTACCTATCCTCTGGTGCACCTGTCCAACTGGTGCTGTGGGCTCAACCTCCTCTGGCTGTGTGGAGTGTGTCTGAGGTGCTTCAGGCGATTCAAACTGGGCTGGTTCCCTCCCAATATACTGGACACGGGACAGGGCATCAAACTGGTCCACTCATAGACTGAGCTGTGTGTCTGTCTGGGAGATCACTTGCCTGACCACTCACCCTGAATTGAATTCCTCTGCTCTATCAATCGCTACATACATTCAGTCTGAAACTGCCATCCTAGAAGTTGTTTGTGTGACTTCAAAACAAATTCATCAGTGATTGGATCGTCTATAACAAATCTAACCAATCAGAGAGTCAAAGTTGATAACTTCATCAGGTAGGCCGGCTCTGGCCCAACCCATTGGTTTCTGGGACCAATCAGATTGGTCAGATTGTGTTCGCATTCTAGAAATCGTCGAGGAGGGAGGCAAATCCAGACTCATCGTGGAGAAGAAACGTCAGTTGGCCGGAGCAATGTGGATGGGTAGCCAGGCAAGGAGATCACAATGGTGTTTCAGCAGGTAGCCTAGCGGTTAAGAATGTTGGGCCAGTAACCTAAATGTTGTTGGTTCGAATCCCCGAGCCGACTAGGTGAACAATCTGTCGATGTGCCCTTGAGCAAGGCACTTAACCCTAATTGCTACTGTAAGTCGCTCTGGATAAGAGCGTCTGCTAAATGAGTCAAATGTAAATGTGTTGACAATCATAAGTATCTATGGTAAGTCATGTGTAGACAATCACCAATAGTATATGTGGTAAAGTACAGTCACCACAAGAGGCCTGCTTTCTACGGTAAATCTGTAGACAATCACCACAATCAGTCTTATTGTGGTCCTCTGTAGCTCAGCTGGTAGAGCACGGCGCTTGTAACGCCAAGGTAGTGGGTTCGATCCCCGGGACCACCCATACACAAAAATGTATGCACGCATGACTGTAAGTCGCTTTGGATAAAAGCGTCTGCTAAATGGCATATTATTATTAGTATTATTATTATTGCCACAGACCGCAACCATGCTAGTATGGGCCTTGCATCTAATGGTACAAGGAGACAATCTCCACAATATTCTTTGTATCTGTGGTTTACTGACATCCACCGTATGTGCCTTGTGTTACTTTGTAAATTGAACTTTCTTGGGACAGTGTGCTTTATTTTGAAAATGTAATATATCATTATTAAGTGTTTTTTCTGTGCTTTTTTTTTTAGTTGCCATGTTTATTTCCACTTTTGAACCTGATAGTATATAGGTTTTAACATTTAAAATGTCTAGCCAAAGATTTTGGGACAATTTCCAAGAGTCATGTGGCCAGTGTCTTTCTTGCCTTGCGTTTGGTGTTGGTTTCTATTGACTGATTATTTAAAATGATGAGATGAAAGCCTTATTACCTTATTTTAGCACCCAATTCTGTTCTATTAGATGGATCACAACAAATGTGGTTAATTCATTTATTTGTTTTTTAAACATTAATTTAGTAAATGTGCTGCATCAGTGTGAGTAGGAGGAGGGGGTGTTGACAATTGGTCAGCCTGACAGGATCCATATACCTGCAGGGATATACAGTACACAGCTCCCTGCCTGCCGCCCATTTGCTGCAGTTGTTTTGGTGTCGAATCCACTGTAAAAACAATGACTCACCACATGTAGCCTATCATTGCATCATAAAAAGTTCACTGTGCCCTCATTGGTTGCGATGGCCATGGTGACCCATATTTGCCAACCTTTCTGCTTCATTTGGTGCTTGTCTTGCTCTCTCTCTCTCTCTCTCTCTCTCTGCGATGCTGCCTTTATGATACACTGTGATGTTTATGCTAAAAAGGTCAAATTGTATTATTCTACATATAAATGAAAGCCAAGTTTTTTGTCTCGCTATATCTTTGTTGTCCTGATTTGAACCGATGTGATGCCTTATCTCAGATTATGCTGGAATAATAAAGTGAATATGTAAAAAGTTGTATACATGTGTTGATCACTTATCTTTAGAAATGTATTGCCTTTTGTAAAAAGACTGTGCAGCTGAGCAACATTCTGGTATCTACCTGGACATTGAAATGGAAAGTTTACCCCAGAGATTAAAAGAGTCACTCAGTTTAGTTTGGAAAGCACAGTCAATGGGTTAAATTGGGCCCAGTCGCCTCTACATAATTGCTTCAGTTGTGGTTTGAGAGGATAGGATGAGTAGAGAGAGGAGGATGCATAGAGGGAGAGACGAATCATGAAATGGGGGAGGGGGAGGTGAGATGACCCAGAGGTGTCCCTAGCCATCCGTTCCAATTCCAGACTCAATAGCAGACTTTAATATGGAATGGTTTACAGACATTGAGCAAATACAGACCCTCGCTGTATAAATGTTAGTGTTGGCAGCTGATATTGGGTATGGGAACCTAGAAGTCCGGACAGATGTTGTAGGAATAATTGTCCTGTGCTGCTGTAAAAAGCTGTCAGTTCTCTCACCGGGGAGTCTAGCTAGACATAAAGCGTTCACTTCAGTTTAGTCCCCCTTTCCTCAACATGTCTCCGAAGGTAGAGCTGCTTTCAATGGTCACACTTTTTATGCATTTTATTGGTTTCATAGAGCAGGTCAGTGAACCACCGCATGGTGCCTGGAGGATACTATTAGACTAGAGAGAGGAAGGAATGAAACAATGTTGATAAGCTTTGGGAGGAATAGAGAGAACTCCATTGTCAGCTTTGCTGCTTTCATACAGGCCATTTAAACCTGCATCTTCACACAGACACACGCACGCACGCACGCACACTGTCTCTGTCTTTCTATTGGCCGTGGCTGGAATAGAGTGCTGTTATTGGGTAAGGTCAGTGATTCATGTATACAGGAGGAATCATTTATGGGAATATTAGATTAAAGGCTGGATTCATCTCCTAAACTGGATTAGGCAATAAAAGAGCCAGTCTCTTCTCTCTCTTTGTGGCCCACATTAATGTGCTGAGTCAGAGCCTGCCACTCACATACACACACTCACACACACACTGACAGGCAGACTACCCAGCATGCTTCATTCAGCAGCTGTGCCTCATCTGTACTGAGTAGGCAATTTGAGCCCGTCAGAAAATGTTTCCCTAATACAGGCAAAATGATGTGCGTGAGTGGTATCCAGAATTTATTTGAGCATTACTTAGCTTTATATCATGCTTTTGTAACCGTGAAATAAGTCACTTGAAAGAAGCGTGCTTGAAAGAACAGAAACATTGAAACAGCCCACATTAGGAGGTCATGGGTAGAAAATCTTCTTCTAGAAATCTTATTTCACTGCTAGACAGCAACACACCAATATGAAATGACTCCCTTTCTTCATTTAACCATGTCTCCACAATCAGGTAAGTACACATCATTATTCCTAGTCTCATTCATTATGTTTCCAAGCCTTTGCATTGTTGCAATATGAACCATCATGCAGTACTGTATGTCTATGAGCTCATTCCGCTCTTTCCTATTCAGAGTTATGGGCTGTCTATGGTCTGTCTGTTATCCTGTGTGTCCTTCAGGCCTTTAAGTGTGCTGCTCACAGTCATTCAGCATCTGCTCGTTGCGAGGGAAATGTACTGTAGTTGTATAAATGCTGAATTCCTCTTTTCTCTCTGGCTGGAAATGAGCCTGACTGGCTGCTGGAGTAATGGGATGAGATTATTGATTCATTCGATTCCTGACCTCTCCAACTTTTCCGCCCAAAAAAGACAGTTGACGTTGCTGTGACATTGAAATGTCAGAGGCATTATCTCTAATCACAAGAGGTGAGGAGGCGTTTAGTCGCCACTTAACCACTGAACGCTTCCCTCTCCACATGATTATGTTATTTTAAAGACGGCTGCCAAATACAAAACCTTCCATCCAGCTCACTTATCCTTCCTTCATCCAGCAAGGGAATTAAACAAACTAGCTACCCTTTTGGTCTTTTGAAGTAAAAAGGTATTTCTCTGTCCCACTGTCCTTCCATCTATCTGTCTGTCTGTCTCCTTATTACCAATGGCAATATATGCTCCTCTCTTTTGATGATAATAAGAAACGTGCCATGAGAAGGAAAAATATATGATCCTGTTATTTTGCACTTTGATCCATTGTTACGGGAATGACTCATAAACAACATTATATTAGTTAACTATTGATAGAAAACAATAGTTGCTTCCTTGTGGCCAGGTATATTAGTTGATCCCCTTTCTCCAACTAAACAGAACCTATAAAGACTACCAGAGATTCCTTAAACAACAGGTAAGTCCACTATACTCACCTCCACCTACGTTCTAAAGTACTCACTGTCTGTCGCTGAATCAAACAGTCACACTCCGAACTCCACTATGGCCAAGACCAAAGAGCTGTCAAAGGACACCAGAAACAAAATTGTAGACCTGCACCAGGCTGGGAAGACTGAATCTGCAATAGGTAAGCAGCTTGGTTTGAAGAAATCAACTGTGGGAGCAATTATTAGGAAATGGAAGACATACAAGACCACTGATAATCTCCCTCGATCTGGGGCTCCACGCAAGATCTCACCCCGTGGGGTCAAAATGACCACAAGAACGGTGAGCAAAAATCCCAGAACCACACGGGGGGACCTAGTGAATGACCTGCAGAGAGCTGGGACCAAAGTAACAAAGCCTACCATCAGTAACACACTACGCCGCCAGGCCCGTCTGAAGTTTGCTAGAGTGCATTTGGATGATCCAGAAGAGGATTGGGAGAATGTCATATGGTCAGATGAAACCAAAATAGAACTTTTTGGTAAAAACTCAACTCGTCGTGTTTGGAGGACAAAGAATGCTGAGTTGCATCCAAAGAACACCATACCTACTGTGAAGCATGGGGGTGGAAACATCATGCTTTGGGGCTGTTTTTCTGCAAAGGGACCAGGACGACTGATCCGTGTAAAGGAAAGAATGAATGGGGCCATGTATCGTGAGATTTTGAGTGAAAACCTCCTTCCATCAGCAAGGGCATTGAAGATGAAACGTGGCTGGGTCTTTCAGCATGACAATGATCCCAAACACACCGCCCTGGCAACGAAGGAGTGGCTTCGTAAGAAGCATTTCAAGGTCCTGGAGTGGCCTAGCCAGTCTCCAGATCTCAACCCCATAGAAAATCTTTGGAGGGAGTTGAAAGTCCGTGTTGCCCAGCGACAGCCCCAAAACATCACTGCTCTAGAGGAGATCTGCATGGAGGAATGGGCCAAAATACCAGCAACAGTGTGTGTGAACCTTGTGAAGACTTACAGAAAACGTTTGACCTGTGTCATTGCCAACAAAGGGTATATAACAAAGTATTGAGAAACTTTTGTTCTTGACCAAATACTTATTTTCCACCATAATTTGCAAATAAATTCCTTAAAAATCCTACAATATGATTTTCTGGATTTTTTTTTCTCATTTTGTCTGTCATAGTTGACATGTACCTATGATGAAAATTACAGGCCTCTCTCATCTTTTTAAGTGGGAGAACTTGCACAATTGGTGGCTGACTAAATACCCACTTTATGTATGTCTGTCTCTTTTTTCTCAGGAGACTATCACCATGGCGATGTTGACCATATTTCTGCTTCTCAGCGCTGCCTTTGCTCTGGGTGATGCAAGTAAGAGAGACATACCTCAGTTTCCACCTGATTTAAAAAAAACTAATTTTAGTTACAGAGTGTAGATAACGGAGGTGTTTATCGATGTGTAGGTAGCAGAGGTATTCTTATCAATGGTATGATTACCTGTTCACACTCATCATATGCAGTTTGATGATACTGTATCATTCTACACTTTAAAGAGCACAAGTCTTAATCTTTCCTCTGTCTTTGTCTGTCTTTGTTGTAGGGGATCTGAATGACGCAGAGAACCTGATACCCAACCTGCCAATCGGTAAACTGCCATCCTCAATCCCATACCAACAGGCTTTCTGAAACCTGCAGAAAACTATAATATTGCATTGGTTTGCTAATGTTAACGGACTGATAATGCACAGATAGCACAGATAGCCGTGGTGTTGAGCTCAATAAAATCACGGCTGGAACGCACTTTTGACCACTCAGATTGTGTGGTCGGGACTAATCATTTCATCATAATATTGAATGTTATCTCTCCCCCCTACAGAGTCTGAGGAGATGGGGGCGAAGGAGAAGTGGGGACTACAAACCAGGAGTTCATCATGCCCACCTGGTTGGCACAGTTCTGGGACACACTGTTATCAGTACGTCCCCATCTTGGCCAATTGGCCAGAGGCAGAGGTACCTGTACATTTTTGTAAATAAATGTCCATATTTAGGGCCAGACTTACTCATTGTAAACATCATAGGATTAGTGTGTTTAACAGTGTTGCTAAACTAAAACTTGACGTGCTATTCCTTCTCTTCATATTCAGAAACTCATGCAGAAACTTCCTATACATCTATCATCATTAATTCAATTTAGATTTACAAATTACCAAACCGGGTCTCAGGCTTGGATAACACTGGAGGCCACTTTGGTCTCCACAGAGTTGGATAAAGCTGCTTTTAGTTTTTTTGCACCCTTTATGTGGAACAACTTACAGAGCTTTCTGAAATGAGACCCTAGTCTCAGTATGACTTACCTGTCAAAATAAAGGTTAAATAAAACAAAATATTCTACCTTCTTTGTATGATTCCCTTTAAAATCCCCCCTCCCCCCTGACTCTCTCGCTCTCTCCAGCATTACTGTTTGCTATTGGGAGGTAACCTGGCATCAGTGCACAGCCGTTCCCAGTATAACTTCCTCCTGTCTGTCATCCAAAGAAGTGCCAACGGAGCCCAGCGCATCTGGATTGGAGCCAACGATGCCATCAAGGTCAGAAGCACTCTGTTTAACATATACATATACAGTAGGATGCGTTGATCCTTTGAGGATATAACTTATAAGCTTGTTTTACTCCATTGTAAACATACACTGTGTAGCTTTAAAGCATGGTTAAATAATTTTCAAATCATGTTAGATTAGGTCTGTCTATGAATTTGAGTGGTTACATTTCTCCAGTCCCATCCCTCAGCTGTTTACCAAAACAATGGCGAAGAGATTGCACTTTCCTTTAAAGAACAATAGTGTTTAGTGTCTTCTCCAGGGGCGGTGTGTTCAATAGGGCGATATGGGCGACGCACTGCCAAACGGGAAAAGGAAGGGATTTTTTTTCTAATCAATTATATCACGGCAACAGTAGTTATCAGTGTTGTAATCTAGACGTCTGATCTGCCACAGTGCCACTAAATGTCCAATCAGGCTAAAGTCGTGCTTCAAATGCCCCCCCCCCCCCTTTTGGGGCGATTTCAGTCAGGTTGAAAATCGCCCAGAAGTCTGTCATAGACTCCCATGTAAAATCTATTTTTTTCAAATATCAGAGCTTTCAATACAATCTCTATGGGTTTCTGAGGGCTTGCACTTACGCGCTTTCGTCATACGTAACATAACCATGAACGTAACTAAGAAAAGAGCGGGTAGCAGCCTCAATCAATTCACTACTACTATCAAAATGGCTAGGCTTCAGTGCAACTCGATTGTGTCTTTGAAAGAAGTTCCTTTTTGTCGGCGAACAAATGAAGATAAATTGGCAACGAAACAATTAGGACCTCCCAGACCAAATTTAATAATTTAACAGGTTTCTACTAAAGGGGGGAAGTCCTACACCCGAGGATTTTCCAAAAATTGGTACGAACGAAAAACCTGGCTAGCAGGCTGCGATGTAGCTAATGCAGTCTTCTGCTACCCCCTGCTTACTCTTTCACCCTGAAGGCGGCACGGCAGACAGCACCGCTTGGACAGCGACTGGTGTGTAACGGACATGCACCATCTTTCAGGAAAGATTAAGAAACATGAGCTGTCAAAGACCCACATGGATAGCTGTTTGAGATTGTCTGCTTTGGGGAGAGTGAACATTCCCACTCAACTGGATGAGGGATACAGGCTAGCTGTCCGCCGCCACAACGATGAGGTTAGTGTTGATAATCACAAGTTTACTGGAGAACTGAAACTGACAAGGCTGACAAGATAGGACCCTTTTGTCCATTGTTATTGGATAGGAACAGAACTTATAACCAGCTCCTGACCTAAATAGATCTTAGCACAACATTTTACTCAACATATCATATTCCATATTCACTATAACAAATATATTTACTACGACATTAGCAAGAACCGCCACATCCTCAGCCGGCTAATCCAGTGTGTGAAGTTTTGCGGAGTGTTTGAGTTAGCTTTGCGAGGCAAAGATGAAACTGAGGGCTCCACCAACCCTGGTAAGCCAACACTTTTGAGATCAGTCAATAAATGCTTCTGGTATTGACTTATATGCTGCCCCTGTCTTCATGTTGTTGCTGGACATATCTTTTTTAAAATGTGTGTAGGTCACCTAAATCATCAGAAAAATTGCCCCCCCTGAGAATTTTTTCAGGAGCCGCCACTGGTCTTCTCATTGCACATTTGCCTGGATGCTCTTTAGGAGGGTCTTTGGCTGTGGAGCGACGGGTCCAGGTTTAGGTACCAGAACTGGGGCCAGGGGCAACCCGATAACAGCAACCATGGTGCTTGGAACGACAACACGAATGGCCGTGAGCATTGCATGGAGATGAACTATGGAGGTACGATGCAGTCGCCAGAGCACTCTCCCTCACATTATGCATCAAACATTTTGATAGATGTAAAAATAAATCTTAAAGAGAATTTGTTCCTTTTTTAGCTACATAAAAAACATCAATACAATACTTAGCTTTCTCTGTTACCCTCTTTCCCAGGTGACCGCGGCCAGAATGATGCACCCTGTAGGATGCAACTGCCATTCATGTGTTCCAGAAAACTGTGATTTCTACAGATTAGGAGAGAATACATGTTCTATCGTTACTCACATGGTTAGTCTGTCATCATGTTTAGTGTACTTTTATATTCTTGCTGATTGTAATGTGGGATTTTATTGCTTTTTTATCTTGATGATTATTGCTGATTTATGTAAAGTGACTTTGGGTGTCTTGAAAAGTACTTAAAATAAAATATATTATTATTGTTATTATTAATACATCTGAGAGGCTCTCGGGATATGGGATTCTTCAATAAAGCCACAGTCTGTAATATTTCCTGTTGTTCAGTGGTCATTTTTGCAAAAACCCCCAGAAAATGCTCATGTGTGGCTCCAGGGAGGAGGTTTCCTTTGCAGAAGCACCCTCATGAAACAATGTATTAATATGTGCGTGCATGTACACCATTGATTGCAAGCACTCCTTTGTAACAACCGAACCTACCCCTTAGCTCTCAGCATATGGGATTATTTTAACCGAGGATGGTGTTGGATGCTGGATATTGCTGTATAGCTGGCCAAATACACTTAGTATGAGCAAGATGATGTTGAAACGGATGATAGGATTCAAAGTGTAAATCTGGGAGCTAACTGGCCTGTCAGCCTTGTGGGATTCGAGGACGTTAATTAGCTCAGCTGTCACAGTCGGGTTCAGATGGGTTTTACTCTGGGCCAAGACCGGGCCGGGGCTGGGTCAGATCTGGACCGGATGGAAGAATGGAAAAACACAGATAGTTGATACAAGAGTTCCTCAAACACACAAAGCCAGCCAGCGTGCCAGCCACCTCTCCCTACGTTCCCTGCCATCAAATCCACTCTCCCCCTAATGAAGTGGCTGACATGACTTAAGCGCTCTCCATCTGGCTGCGCAGTGGAAATTGGGTTATGGAGACAAGACGGGGTCTCCTCCACCTCCCCGCCATAACACACATGCACTCAGACTGTAGCTTGCTGGAGACATACCTGTAAAGTAGAGCATGGATGGCAACCGTGTGGTGGATGGGGGAGGATGAATAACAAATGAAAAACGCATCATGGTAGTGCAGAATACTGTACCCTACAGTGTTACTTAGCTAAATGGGCAGATGCTATGTGTGTAATACTCGTGTGTGTTGTTTCGAGATGTTGTGCCTGTAGTATGTATGTATGCTTGCATGCATGCATGCATGTGTGTAGGTAACCTACACTAGAGATTTGACCACTTCTTTATACCACAGTATGACATTTCTGCTGAGACAAAATATTGCATGATATTACATGAATGACAGAGTGCATGCCTGTATACTTGCACGCATGTATGTCGGTAGCCCACATACAGTACACTTGAGATTTGTCCTGCCCAGGGGAATCTCCAGAATTATACCATAGTTGAGGCAAAATATTCAAATATTACCTTCCTTCTCTGGAATGTGGAATACCATTCGCAACTAGTTCGGTTTACATTTTGACGTCTATCCAGTGCAGGGGCGGTGTGTTCAATAGGGCGATATGGGCGACGCACTGCCAAACGGGAAAAGGAAGGGATTTTTTTTCTAATCAATTATATCACGGCAACAGTAGTTATCAGTGTTCTAATCTGATCTGACTGCCACTAAATGTCAAATCAGGCTAAAGTCGTGCTTCAAATGGCCCCGCCCGTTTTTGGGGCGATTTCAGTCATGTTGAAAATCGCCCAGAAGTCTGTCATAGACTCCCATGTAAAATCTATTTTTTTCAAATTTCAAAGCTTTCAATACAATCTCTATGGGTGTCTGTGGGCTTGCACTTACGCGCTTTCGTCATACGTGACGTAACCATGAACGTAACTAAGAAAATAGCGGCTAGCAGCGTCTCTGTTGCGACCTGCAGTGTGGCGTTATCTTATGTTTTTAATTTGTACACTTAGTGGCGTTATTTTATGTTTTTAATTTGTACACTTAGTTTACAAACATTCTGCCAACCATGGATTTCCAGTGGTGGGTTTTGGACTGATCTTGTTGATCGTGTACATACCCGCTACGAACGGACTAAATAATGAAAACGCTGCTGGCAGCGGAATCCAATACAGCTGGGAGACTTGGCTGGATGACAGAGTCCCGGACAGAGAAGTGGAGCCGGCCGGCTTCACCCTGGTCAGAGCGGACCGCGATCTGACACAGTCACAGGGAAAATCGATCCTGGTAAGAGAGCGACTCTGTACCCCCGACATTGAACTGCTTTCTGTGTCACTGCGACCTTACTATCTGCCCCGTGAGTTCCCCCAATTGTTTGTTACCGTTGTGTACTGTTGATAATCACAAGTTTACTGGAGAACTGAGACCAAGTAGAGACTTTGGACAGGGTGGATATGGTATAATAAAGGCAGTTTATTCAGAGGTAAAGATATCTGGAATCGCGTGCACGGACTCGTTCGTCAAACTCTTAGGGAGCTATCTGAAGAGAGCCCCGAAAACATTGTGTGCAGACATTTTATACAATAAATGATGTAGGTTGAATCTAGTAGTTCTGATCTTCTGATTGGTCCTGATGAGTTGGGCGAGGTCCCCTCCACTGTTGCATTGGCTCTGAGTCGGGTTCTCTGTCTTCAAATGTTCAGCCTAAAGAGAGGGGATTTTTGTGTGTGTGTGTGTGTGTGTTTAACAGTGATGATGTGTGTGTGTGTGTGTGTTATCAGTGATGATGTGTGTGTGTGTGTGTGTGTGTGTGTGTCCTCAGAGCAAGAACTCGTGAGTTGGAAGAACTGAGAGACCTATGGCGTGGGTGTTGTCCTTGGCCACCTGCTGACAAGGCTGACAAGATAGGACTCTTTTGTCCATTGTTATAGGATAGGAACAGCATTGATTGAAAACAAACGCCCAACACAAAATGGGTCATGCACAAGATTTTAGTCAGACCAAGCTATAACATTATATATTTACTACGACAGTACATTCAACCAAAAGCTAATATAACAAAGGCATCAGAGATTATTTATAATCTGTCACAGAAACTGGAATCCATCTCCCCAGATCAGTCAATAAATGCTTCTGGTATTGACTTATATGCTGCCCCTGTCTTCATGTTGTTGCTGGACATATCTTTTTTAAAATGTGTGTAGGTCACCTAAATCATCAGAAAAATTGCCCCTCCTGAGAATTTTTTCAGGAGCCGCCACTGATCCAGTGTGAACGGTATAGGTAAAGATACCAGGCAGACCCAGACCTAAATGATGCAGAAAACTGATTTATTTCCCAGATTTGCCCGTGCCTTATTATTGTAGCACTATAGCTCATTCCTGGGCACTGATGTCAGTGCTCCCCAAGAGGCCCTCCCTGCAGGAGCTTGTTTGATTGCAGCCTCACAGCTGGCTTGTGATGTGGGCCAGGCCTGAATGGAAGGATGGAGGGAGGAGGGGAGGGGGGCGAGTCAGTTGCCCCCAGCTGTGAAAATCTGAAAATCAGGCTGGACCCTGGTGCTGGATTGGGAAGAGAGGGGGGAGGAGTCTCTCTCTCTCTTTTTTTATATTCTCTCTCTTGCTTTCTCTCTCCCTCTCCCTCTCTATCTGTTTGTGTGAGAGAGAGATAGAATAGACAAACAAACATGCACGTGCACACACACACACACACACACGTCCTCAGCAGCATCATCGCTTGCCTGCCTGGGTGGAGGATATAAAAGCCTGCACGGTCCCTGCCCTGCTGTAGAGAGGCAGGACTCCCTCGCTATTGGGCAATGGAATGGAATAGCCTAAAGTAGATGACGGTGTGTGTGTGTGTGTGCGTGCGAGCGTGCGTGCGTGCGTGCATGGATGTGTGAGAAACGCAAATATGCGACAAACAGAGACACAAGTACGGAACAGACATAAACACATTTCCCATGAGCATATCTGTCATCCTCCGTGGCATGCAGTGTGGGGACATTCCAGGGCTCATCTCATTTGTGTCCTTGCTGTGACTGCTGAGAGCGAGAGAGAGAGAGACAGAGAAAGAGGGAGGGAGGGAGAGAACGAGAGAGCGAGGGAATAAAAAAACAACTGAGACCGAGACTGTATTTTGTGTTGAGGAACAAACACACTGATGATGCATGGGGGCAGGAGACCTGTTATTGCTGTTATTGCTCCAGCTGTTTCATTTGGATGAAGAATATGTTTCATGGGACGTGTGAATGGACTATAAAACAGGGAAACATTCTTGGGTGTGAAAACATTGTGTTAACGAGGACCACTTCCATTCATTCAGGGGAAAAAGGGCATTCTTATAACCTGCACCTCTCTAGATGGATGATTCTCCAGGAAGAACCTCTCGCACTGTGCTGCCATCATTATTGTCATAATGAAAGGTGTAGTGCCAAGGCAGAACAACGCCCTCTGTGGGTCTGGATGGTCTAGGTAAAAAGCACCTTCATATGAATATATGACTTAATGGGCAATTAAAACAATTTACTCCCATCCAACATTACATAAAGAGGGTAAAATGGTTTGCGGGAGCTTTGCCACATTCCTTTGAATGAAGAATGAATAGCATTTGATGAGTATGGTCTTAGATGGTTATTGAGTATATATATATTTTTTATTTAACATTTATTTAACTAGGCAAGTCAGTTACGAACAAATTCTTATTTAAATGACGGCCTAATCCCCGGCCAAACCTGGTCGACGCTGGGCCAATTGTGCGCCGCCCTATGGGACTCCCAATCACGGCCGGATTGTGATACAGCCTGCAATCGAACCAGGGTCTGTAGTGATGCCTCAAGCACTGAGATGCAGTGCCTTAGACCGCTGCGCCACTCGGGAGCTCCAAGTATGAACTGGACTGTGAATGTGATGATGTAAAGCAGAAGGATTTCTCATACATCACCCTTCGTTCTAGACCAGGGTTTTAGTCAATAGGGCACACTGTAGCAAACCGTTTAAAAATGAAAACAAGTGGTTCCTGTTGAACAAGTCCAGGTAGTCCCTCCCAGCTCCCTGTTTCAGTCTGTTTTCTTCCGTTTGGTGCCTAATGAACACGACCCTGGCTGCTTCGCATGACCAGCCGCTGTTGCTAAGCAGC